GTGTCRTGAGGGCTAATATTTATTAATTATTTACTGTAAAATAATTTATTGTAACTTTAAAATCCAAATAAAAACCTATAMTTTCATTCACAATTCTATAAATACTTGCATATGTAGTGTACAATTTACCAACAGAACTTAAAAAAATGGGCCAATCTGTACTTGTTGAAACTAACTATTGTTTTTCTGATTGTTCAGGATGCACAACAGCATTTGTGCTACTGACCACTGAAATATGTCTCTGTAGAGACTCAGAAGCAGCTCATCCTCATGACTTCCCTTAACAGACATCTTAGGATTCCTCCAGGCTGCTCTGGGCTGTTTCACCAAGCTTCAGATTCTTCTCATGAGAGAGAGATGAGGTAAGCAGGAACCTCCATTCTGGTCTTCAAACCAGCCATGTAATGCTATGTGAAATTCTAGGCAGCCATCATACAGGGTGGCATGCAGAGAGCAAGCACTCRTGCATTCCTGATCACAGCATCAAAGCCTGGCATGCCCATCATAGGTCAATGGAGAAATTCTATGAGAAACTGGACATCTATGTAAGATATCGTGTCTGAGAGCAAAAGGAGGTGTCCATCCATTGTAAATATTTAATTATTTAACTCTAGAAATAATCTGGATCACAAKTAGCATAACAGTGTKCAGTCCATCTCCTCAGRTAYRCAAGTGAACTTAAATCAGGTGATTGGGACTAGAATCTACCAGCTTCTGTTCTCTCTCTGATCTTTTTCTCAGTGATGTTTGCATTTAATCCATCTTTGTCTAAATGCCCATAGCCTAGAAACAAACATCATCAGTACGTACTTTTCTCAGAAGGAAAACAGGGAGATTCAGGAACATTGTGGTTCCCAAATGAAAGATTTTATGTAACTGGAGAAGAAATCAACTGGAGAGCTATTTCCAAATGCACAGTTGGCAGTAGCCAAGACCCCATTGTATGAAGCAGATTGGACACGAACTAAAACTGTGATAGGTGATCTTTTGAGAAATCCTGGCACTGCTTTTTATCTAATTGGAGACTGTCATGGGGTTGAAGCTTCATTTGGCTGCGTGAAGCCAAAACCCGCCTGAAGACACCCAACATTGCTTACATAAATTACTGAACATGCTGCTGTGGTATTTGAAAAGCCACAAATCTTGTCAATCAAATGAAGSTCTAAAGAGTTTACTGACTGTCACTTTGGCCCTTCATTGTGTCAAGACTGAAACATTCCTTGGACACATTTAGAAAGTTGTCTCACCAATCATCCTGTGTGTCATCAATTACTTTGTTCCCTTGCTCAATGACCTACTAATATTCTTTAAACCACAGCAGTAGTCAGAAAGCCTTTTATCTACTACACACTGGAACGAGCAATGTGAAAAAAGTCTGCTTTTGGACATAGCACTGCAATAATCTGTCTGCAACATTGAAGCCTTAAATAGAGAAGATAAAGATTTATGTAGGAATATTAATACACCAGATTACATAATTAATTTGTGGAAATATGCTTTAATTGCTAAACAGTACAATTCTAGAAAGTTTTGTGTCCTCTAATTATATTCTAGTAATGTACTTCAGGATGTCTTTAATTACAAGATGAGTATAATATTTTCCCCTGACAAAATGAATAGAATATACAAAAAAAAAAAAAGCTTGAAAAATAATTCAGAATTTTTGCAATATGGTCATTGTTCACCTACCTGGCTGTAAAATCTGYCTAATTACTTTCCCCTTGTTTTCAACCCTGGAGTCTGATTACATCCAATGGCACAAATTCAACGTCAGTGACACCACCTGCAAACAAAGCAACACAGATTTTTTCATGCCCGMTTGGTTCAGATATCTGCACAATCTATAAGGGAAGGTCAGGGAAGGGTAGGATTCTGGCTGAACAAGAAGTCTTGTCAGTGGAAAAGGCTGTGATCAGCTCTTCCCTCCCACACTATGATCCAGCACCTTCAATTCTTTAGCCCTCATTTTTTGAAGTGCCATGCCCTTGCCTAATGCCTCCTGGCATAGAGAAGCCTTTCCTGTAATAAACCCTTGAGTTTATATTGTTGYATTGTCTCATTTCCAGTAGAGCATTCTGTGGATTTAGATGAAGACAGAAGAGAACACTCAGCTCAAACTTAGGTCTRGCCTGAGAAAATTTGCTGATCTACATGAAGAAATAGTCACACATTTGAACTAAAATCTAAACATTATTGTATTTCAGCTTAAAAATGAAGCCATCTTTGCTTGAAATTTGAAGCATAATCCATCACTACCTTCAAATAAAAATGACACTAGATTTTCTAAYACTTGTCCTTTASTTCAGGCTTTGCTGTCACATACTAAAGGTTCCATATGAATGCCAGGCCTATGTAAAAGAATTACTTTGAGACTTTCCTTAAAGGTTTTGCATAGTTACAGTAAAATCTAAAAAAGGGGGCTTTTCATTACCAGTTGTGTGGGACTTTAAAATCCTCACCTGTTATGCCATTCCATTGTACATTTTTAGTCACATCATACCTAGGAATATCCTTTAATAATAGTTCAGTCATGTTTTAGTCTTCAGGTTAATATCCTGGTGGACACATGAGATACAGATCTTCTAATAAAATATATTCCCATAAAGCCCTGCATGCTGCATTTAGGGAGAAGGATATTGACAGCTGACAAYATAATGCTGGAAACTATCTCTGCTTTTCTGAACTTGTTCAAGTGAATGGCTTCATTACTTCTCAATTTACTCACTCRTCTATAGACTGAGGGAACCATGAGATCTCCAGAGCTTTTTGGAGTTTTTGGTTCTTCCCTTCCTTTCCCCATGTAATCTTATAACTTATGAATATTACATAAGTAAAAAGCATTCATGATAAAAGCAATAATATCTTCCAAATTGTGTGTTAAAATGTACAGGTGCAAACTGTTTTTTTGCCTGTGGGTTGTCTGCTCATTGGGTTTTTTTATTTTTCTGGAGAAATACACTGTAAGTCAGAAGAAATACCTAACAAAGGAAAAATATCTCACAGCAAAAAATAATCTTTGTTCATGCATATAGGAAAGTACTGCTGATTTACACATTTCACTTCTTAGACAGTAGGCAGAATTTTGTGTTTCTTTCCCAAAATGTATAAAGTATTAATTTATATCTCAGCTGCTTCAAATGCCTCTGTTCTACTTAGCACATTTGGGATATTCAGGGATATTCACAGGTATAGGCAGAACAGAGCAGCAAGGGTCTAACACCATTTGAACAGCTTTTCAACAGCACCAGTTTCTCATTAAAAACATGATCGTCTGTCATTCCTGGGGCTTTTGCTMCTTTCCACTATATTCTTACACAAAGAAACCTGCTATCTGACCTGAAGTGACTATTCTTGTTTCCCACAAGTATTATAGATGTTATCTTTTCAATATTTTCTTTGAATTTTGCATSTGTAGATTACTAACATTACTGTCTCATTTAAGGTTTACCTGCCTGCATTTAACAACACAAAGTTTTCTCAGCAAATCCTTCCGATAGCTTCAGAGCTCACGTTACTTTGGGCACAATTCTGAGTTTAAAAGTCACACTTCTTCACAGCTTCCCAGGACTTTCTTTTTGTCAAGACCTCTTTACCCTGTAAATGAAATGTCAAATCAATGAAAGCATCCGAGGGTGGGTACATGAAGGGTCAGGAGGGTGTGTGTGACAGTGACATCAACTGAGACAATAAAAGGGCTTCCAAGTTACTTAGAGGCTCTATTTTAAAGTCACATTTAGGGGGTCCACTAAACCAATTCAGTGGTCTTTAAATATACTTGACATCAAGAGACAGCCATCTGCTGACATACCCAAGCCAGAAATCTCTTTAACATTCTATCTGGTAAGTACACTCTACTTTTTTCCAAGTTCTCTGGAAGACTTATTAGAATATTTAATCATTGATTCTTTCCCCATAGCTGCATAARTTTCTTTTCAGATGATCTTATAAAATAAGTAAATATTAGTAAGATCAAACTTATGATATCTGAACTAAATTTGTGAAATGAAAAATCTGAGACAGTGAATGAGAAATAGCTTGAAGCGAATTCAAGTCCTGAATTTATAATACTGGATTAGTTAGATGGACTGCTAGAACCTCATTGATACTGCCATGTAAGAGACCACATTATAAATTCTTCTCTGACCTACAGTAAAGTGGCAAAAACTATTGCAAAAATGGCATTGTGGAGTTTTATATCTCTTAAGTTTCAGTCACTCCATATCAAATTTTTTAAGTGGTAACAAAAAGATGCCTTTTCTGACAGACAATACTGAAAATCCAAACTGGAAACTGATACTGGAAATTTGTTATTTCTGCCTATTGTAGYATCATCTGTGGTAAATATTTTCTAAATATATTTCAAATTGGCTGTTCTGGTGAGGATGTAAAAATCAGAAGGGAATTCATACAGGAAATGCAGGATTATCGCTGAAAAAATGAGGGACTTAACTCTGATTTCTTTTCTATAACTCAACAGTGAATATCATAACACAGTAGTTATGTTTCTATGCAAAATTGTCAGGAAAAGTGTCAGCCTCTACATTCTAAAGAACATGCAAAAGAAATAAAGAAAAGAACAAAACTTTTAATTGGAATCGCTATACACAAGTATTTCACTGGACTTGAAGACTACAAAGTCATAATGATGATGATAATAATAATAACAATATTGGAAGAACATGGTGTTTTTCACCCAATTATGCAAGAGATAGGTACCTTGATGATGATGATGATGATGATGATTCAGGGCATCATTTTGGCTGACCAAACTTTGTAGAGTTGTCCAGGAAGTAACAGCACATTTCTCACAAAATTAGTGTTAGAAGTAAATCCATCATTTGCATTCCTTGCTATAATCCATTTGACAAGAAAAAATATTTTTTCAAAAGCTCTTCTCTGTTGTTTGGAAACTTTTTTTCTAATTTAAATTTGTTTGGAAACAACAGAAATAACTTGAATTACAGACYTCACATATATTCATTCCTACCTTTGTAGACAAAATGACTTCTATAAGAAACCTGGCCCGGGCTGCAATCATTTTATGTGCCATATGCTTTTTGACAACCTCTGATGGAAGACCAATGATGTAAGTRCATTATCACACACTGGATGGTTTTTGCTGCTCTTGAGAATGTGGTGGTTTGTCTGTTTGTGTTTGTGAGAGTTCTGTCTCTGCTTTTGAACCCCTTGGCCAAGCTGGCTGTGATCTGTCCTCTAGAAACAGCTGTAGAGATCTTAGACACTCTGAGATCTCATGTATCTTTTGAAAATAGTCAGCTGAGTAGATGGAGAAAAATCATGTAAATCTTCTCTTATTATTCAAATGGGGTAAGCTGCGTCTCTTGGGGATCTGCACAGGTGAACGTGTTTTGTACTGTGAGAATCTAGCTGAGACCCAAATCCACAGGGAATTGTGCTTCCTTAGCTCTAGTGATCACAGAAAACTCCCACTGAATAAGTGCCACCGTTTTATTGATCACTTACCTAATTTTGTATAAGCCGTAAGCTCGTCCACAACAGCTAAAATAAGTGATAAATACGTAGTCAAACCACACTGCCACAAAATTGAACTACTTCACATTATGGATGCCTTCTCACTGATACATCCATTACCAATACCAAATCACCACCCACCCTCCCTCTCTTCTCCAGATGTCCTTTAATCCCTTATAAACCAGACAGGCAGGTATTGTGACACCCCACAAAAGTTCCCAAATCTGGGTCTTTGAGTGAAGTTCCGGAATCCAAGAAGGGCCACCATGAGTCTSTTTCTTTGCTCTCCTTTGCTGCAGGAAAAGGTCAGTGAGTGAGATGCAGTTAATGCATAACCTCGGTGAGCATCGGCACACGGTGGAGAGACAGGACTGGCTGCAGATGAAGCTGCAGGATGTGCACAGTGCCCTGGAGGACGCTCGCACCCARAGGCCTCGCAGCAAGGACGACGTTGTCCTGGGCCGGAGGTTGCTCCCGGAGCATTTGCGGGCAGCAGTGCAGAAGAAATCCGTGGATCTGGACAAGGTTTACATGAATGTCCTCTTTAAAACAAAGCCATAATGAGAAAAGCCAGAGTATTCTGTCTGTCCACGTAAGCACGTCCGTATAGCATTGAYCAAGTAGGGCATTTCATTAATATTTATTCAAGCTGCAGTGAGGATTCAAGGCTCTGTTCAAGGTAGTAGCCCTACTGAGTGAGACATTTCACAACCAAATAATAAAATGTATTTACAGTCTACCCAGGACCATTGCTGCTAGTGTCTGKAAATCTTTTGGCTCATGTATCTTACCAGCATAAAAAGAAGAGAAACCCAAACCAGTAAGAAGGTTGAAAAATCATTTAAGRCCAGTTCTACAACTCTTACATGGGCAGCATTTGTATGTAATCCCTAGGCCTGCTTGTACTGTTAACCAGCAAGGAGTAATGCAGGGGAGCCTGTCCCCAGAACAAGGCCTAGGGTTAAACTTGGTTTAACTTTATACTAATGGAAATACATAAACTTAAACCCACACCTATATTCAGAAGAAGGCCTAAAATCAGGTGAACATTAATTACATAGTAAAAACTGCATGGTTATAATTTAGGATTAAAGAGTGCAAACATAAAAGAAAGAATGGGAAGGTAAAGCTTAATCTTAAAGTACAAAAGGATAAAATTAACACAAATTCTGAAGAATTTGGCAAAATACAGAAATGAAAGGAAGGTTTGATTACTTTCCCCTCCTCTAAAAGATGATAACCTATAATTAAGTGCAGAAACAGAGCAGATATGGTAGTGCATATGTAAGYATGGCCCTAACTATAGAACTGGGAAATTATTCTATACCAGGCTATTACAATTGAAACAAAAATCTTATGATATATAATTTTTGTCCCTCATTTTCTCTGTAAACTCTATCTCAACATAGATATGTATGTTCTGTATGTTGTGGTGGGCCTCATGTGTAAGCAACTGTTTTTGTGAGACCAGTGGCTCTCATCAAAAAATCACCCATTTCCATATGCAATTTATCATAAAATTGGGATCTCAGATTTCCAAACCCCCAAAATGAGAAGCATTATCATGCAGAAATCAAAATGGGAGACAATACATTAGCTGTAACATATTCAAATGCTAAGCAAGACTCACAAAGAATTGAATGTAGACATAGATTGGAAAAAATCAGTTATAACTAGGATTTTAAAAAGCAGCAAATACAACATTATTTTGCATGGTATATGCACATATGTTCTTAGGAGCCTCAGTCATTTCTGATGAATAAGAAGGTTTTCCAAGCAGGAATACTAACTCCAAATTTGCCATTGCCACAGCCCAGATGTATTGCTGCTCTAAGCCAAAGTGGCAGCATGGATGTTCCCATGTTGACTCTTATTTGTTTGTTTGATGTCTAGCACACCTTGGGGAGCCTTGTAAAACCCTCCTAACTCACTACAAATATAAATGCAATCTGCTGAAGGCTAGAGATGTGTTTGCARCTAGTGAATTGTAGACCATCATCTTGGCCATCCTTTTAGCAATGCAAAGGCCTTGCTGCTGGGAGCAGATGGCACAAGRGTTCTGTGCCAATTGTCTGGTTGTAGCATCGAGGCCTTAAGGTGCACTTTCTATTTATTCCTTCATCAGACATCTGTGCTAACTTCAATAAATCAAATCGCATTTTTGTAACTATGTCTCACTTATGTACTACCAAATAAAGTGGACCAAAAGCTCTCTTGGACATTATTTTAAAGCATAAGAACTGACTGATCTGTGGCTGTTTGGATATAATTTGGCATTTGGGATGAGACTGTCGAGCTGTTTTATTTTATGGCAGCAATATAAGTACAGAAGTAAGGATGAGGACATCTTTTACTTTTCCTTTCATCCTTCCTGCACACAAAATCATACTGGTGGTTAAACAAATGGTGTTTTACCTAGCACAAACCTATTTATGTCCCCTTAGAATAATTCCACATGCAGGAAGCATATCATCTTCAAGTGACAAATTATAATCTGGTTAATTTTGATCTAAACAAAGAATCCTATTCTCAGAATAACTTCCTAATCTTCMGCTGTTCAACAGAAGAAAGATGATTACACAAATATTTAAACTTTGCTGTCACTTACAGTATGACTTTGCCTGCAGTAAATGCTGCCCTTTGGTGTTGCTGCTCGGCTCAGTGCTGAACGTGTGGCATCTGACTCCTCGCCTTGTTAGCACATTCTGACAGCTTTTGTGCGAGCTGCTTGCCCTTCATTGTTCTGCTGCTGGGTTTCTAGAACTGTGTGGTTTATCTCTCTAGCCATTGTTAAATGATGGAAAAGAGAATTCATGGTTGCAGTCTATCTTGGCAAAGCTGCCATCCTTTATGGGGCATTGGTACAACAAAGGCACAAGTCCTTGGTCTCTTGCCTCCTCCTCCTCTCCCGTCCCCAATGTGCAGAAGTTCTAAAGTCCTTTCACCTGATATGAAGTCAAGCCCTGCTTGTAGTTTATAATGATGGCATTAGAGAATAATATAGAAAAAAAAAAGATAATTTTTTTTTATAGATCTGAATGTATCTGGGACTCAGAATTGATTCATTCTCCCTCCCTGTCTCATGAGAGTGGGAAGGGTTTAGTGCCACCTGTGACATTTGAGTATATAGAGGGTGCCAAAACTGCGGGACAGGATAGTTCTGCCGGAGTGTTTTGGAATGAGAGCCACGTCCACTGATTGTTTTCTTAAACAGAAYGCAGATTACACAGACTTTATACAACCTACAGGGCTGAACAAACAGCTGTAATTTACGTCAGGGATCAGTTTTAGGATGCGGCTCAGATATCAGAGACGTCAGCTCACCTAGATAAACTATTTTATGGCAGCTGGCCCGCTATCATCTCTTCAGGGAAGATCCCGTCTCCTCAGGGGAGAGCCCGCCTTCGTCTGCACAAG